CAACAATGATTCCCCTCCCAAATACCATACCCCCCCTCCCCATTTCAATGGCAGCCGAAGCAGTAGCAAAGCGGAGGCTGACAATAACATTAAAAAATTGGGTGACATAAGTTAAATTTAATACATTATTATGGTTTGTTGTGCAATCAGCCAGATGTTTAGAGTAGATTTTTATCCAAGTATTGAGTCTTTACCAAGGACCTAGGATCGGCAGATGTTGTTTGATGGCTTTAAAGGTTTTGTCGCAGGATGTAAGCTGTTACAAGAAAAGCTGCCTTTTCCAACTGACAGATGGTGATTTTGTTAATGATGTTGATAATATTCAAGTGGTGCTCCAGATGTTGCTGTTATTCTTCTTCTAAAAGTAGAATTATATTAATAATTATTTTTTATTGTCCAAAATCCAAAGATTCCCAAAGTGACTTATAGTATATTAATTCAATGCAAGGCAATTGAACTAAGGCAAATACAGGTAGCCCTCAACTTACAACAATTCATTTAGCAACCATTGAAAGTTACAATGGCACTGAACAAAGTGATTTTTGACCATTTTTCACATTTACGACCATTGCACATACCCATGGTCACATGATCAAAATTCAGACACTTGGCGGAGGGAGGAGTCAGCGTCGCGACGACACATCGCACGGACCCGATAGTCTGGGTCCGTCGATGAAACTTTTGTCTTTGGACGGTCCGGTAGGACATAAACCGTCCCGAAGAGACAGTGACAGGGAAGCCAAAGACTTGCTGGTCACAGGGACATCGCAAAGTCCCTGTTTGACCCAAGGGTAGCGCTTCCAACTGAGGACAAACAGACAGCCCCCAGGCTGGCTCCTGAAGGAAGAGACGAAGCGAAAGCGTTCCATCTGGTGAGGTTTTTTTTTCTTTTTTTACTTTCAGAAAATCAGTGTTAAGAAACTTTTTTTTCTTAAAAAAATAATAACATCTAGTCCCCAAAGTAAGAATAAAGCGGCGATTTTGACACCTATTGAACTGCTACTAGAAAATTTCCTGCTCTAGTCAGTAACGTTGTTTTGTGGATTGAAGTAATTGCAACATTTCCTGTCTCCCTGCTTGTAGTCTATGGTCTGATCTTTTTTGGTCTCCTATTTTTTCCTTTTTACTACCCTAATTTTTTTTTTTTGGGGTTGGCTAAATTAAACTTCTTTTTTTACCTCAACANGGGTAAAATGAGGACCCAGATTGTGGGGGCGATATGCTGACTCTGTAAACTGCTTAGAGAGGGCTGAAAGCCCTATGAAGAGGTATATAAGTCTAACTGCTATTGCTATTGCTATTATTTTATATAAGTAATTCATGCAGTAAAAGTGAGTGAGGTGGGAGCCACTGCTGCTCAAGTCAGGTATAGTCAGTCTTTAAGAAGATGTTGGATAGCCATTTGTCTGAAACGGTATAGGGTTTCCTACCTAGGCAGGGGGTTGGATTAGAAAACCTCCAAGGTCCCTTCCAACTCTGCTATTGTATTGTATTGTATATCATTGTGTAAACATGGAGCTGGTAATTCCAATGCCAATTGGAGAAAAAAGGCCAAATATCCATTGACCCAAAAAGATAGCAGGAAACAGACTAATGTATTAATCTTTTCCCACCTATCCACTCATAGTTGCTAATAGAATAAAGAATATTTCATAATTTCTTCAAACTCATCCCTAGTTCTTTTATTATTACGGTTCACTAGAGCTTAATGCGCAACTATCACCACCATAGGAATTTCTACTTTCCAACTTTTGCAGAACAGTACAGATGCTATCAAGTCATAATTTCTGACACAAGTGTAATCCTTTCTTTCAAACTACTATCGATATGTTTTCACTTCCCCATAGTCACAAAATCACACTCTCTTCTTTCAGTTCTGTTAAATTCTTTCTTTTCTTTGTTTTACAGATTCCCCACGTATCTACTTTATTTTCTTTAAATTCTTACTTCCTCCTACATTACAAATTTAACATTTTTGCTGCACACACAGAGGCATATAGACACATAGTCACTACAGATGGGCCCATAGGCATCCACCTCTGCCACCTAGGTGAGGTTGGCATGTAAAACTTTTTTGTAAGATAAAGGTGAGGAGGGAGGGAGGGAGGGAGGGAGGGAGGGAGAGAGAGAGACATTTTTATGACAGGAAGGAGGAAGGACATGCACATTTAGGTATGAAATCAACAGACAAAATATTTTGTATAAAATATATTATCAATTATGAAGTGGCAAAAGCTGTCCTTACTCAGTTGTTGGCAAGAAAAAGCAACTACTGTGTTAATTAGCTGTCAGTTCCCTAAATTACCTAGATTTAGATGACAAAAAAGCTGAATTTTCAAGAGGATTTGCAAGAAGGGGAACAAAACAATTCTTCATCTAAAAGTGCCCCATAATTTAATTCCAATTGTAACAACCTTGGCTTTTGTGAGTATTTAACTAGGTCAGAGGTCTCACAATTATAATTGTATTAGAAATAAACCTTTATTAACAATTCTTTGGTTTTCAATTTCCCACAGCTGCCTGTTGCTATGCAGACATTACAGAAGATCTGGCTCAATCACCAGTTGTTAAAATACGTAATACCTTCTGGAACAGATGTGGTAATCTTAGCCAAGCGTAGGTTTTGTTTTGTTTTTATTTTCCACATGTTTCTAGAAATACGTTATTTGCCATAATTCTGCATTCATTGCTTTTTGTAACAACAGCATAACTGTCAGCATTTCTTCATTCAATAATCAGGAAAGAAAACCACTGGACTCCATTTGTTGAAATCAAGTGTACTTTTACTAATTATAAATGAATAGTTGCAAAGCTGAGCTAAGTCTGGTTAATTAGGCGCAAAAGCGAATATTATATTGTAAATTCAT